TTTTTTACGATCTTTTTTGGACACTTTTTATTTAACACTTTTTAAGTAAAATCTTAAGGTGAAATCTTTACAAACACGTGAAATACACCTTCCAAAGTCAGATAAACTGATTTGATAAAAAAAAAATCATTGAATTGTATATTTTACACCAAATTTAAAACAAGTACACTAACGCCGATTTCTCTTGACAAACGTCGAAACATGAAACTGTTTCAATAACATTTTCTAAAACTGCATAAATTGAGCAATTGTAAGCAATTTGAGGTGAACTAATGATCTTGAGACATAGCAAGTAATTGAAAGAATGTAATTACAACATCAACCCAGATGAATTTGAAGAAACTAGACAGTAAGCGAGGAAAATATATGAAAAGGGTCCAAAATATGTAGGGGTCCAATTCAAGTTGGTTACCCTACCACCATGTTTAACGCACAGAACAAGAATAAAATCAATTACCGCGTTTGGGGCTTTCCGGTTTTCAACTGTACTGACAATACTGGAAAAAGATATCTAAAATGTCTAGGGTGGGTGAGCCAGCAGTAAAGGTTCTATGCAGTATGTCGATTGTGCAGTAGACGTTTTTTTTTTATAAAATTTTATTGGAAATTAAACAAGAGGAAATTCCTTTTAGAAGAAGACGACGTAGTTTTGGCTCCTAAAAAACCCGGTTTGGTCAATAAGCAAATCATTGATTTGAAAAATCGGAAACAAAAGGCTCACAAAATATATAGAAAACGGAATAATCAGGGTAATTTGGAAAAGTATTTGAATATTTGTGATCAGCTCAATTTTGCTGTTTCTTCTGCACTTAATGAGTACCACATAAAACATAAATTTCATAAATCATGTCCAAGAAACTTCTTCAATTACGTTAAAACTTAAATTTATTCGTGCAACTTTCCATCGAAAATGACTTTAGACGAAAAAGTACGAAATAATTCAGAAGATATCTAATCTAATCTTTTTGCAAATTTTTTTCAAGAGGCGTACTCCAATTTCTCGGATAATGATCGTGATTATGAATATTTTTATGCTCTCCTGACTTTTCGAGTAATGTTGGTGTTAGAAATATTTATGTTCATGATATTTTGATAGGTCTAAAAGATTTGGACGCCACTAAAGGCTCAGGACCAGATGAAATCCCACCAGCCCTTATGAAAAATTTAGCAATTGAGCTCACAACCCCTTTATACTGGCTGTTTAATATGTCACTTGACTTTGTTACATTCCCGCAGGAATGGAATTTTTTTTTTTAATACCCATTAATAAATCTGGTAAAAAATCAGAAATCCGAAATTATCGTGGGATTGCCATCATCTCAACTATTCGAATCAATCATAAACAAAAATATTTTCAACCAAATAAAACATAGAATAACAAATGCACAACACGGCTTTTTTAAAGGTCGAAAAATATCCATTAGTTCATCTAGATAAAATTGATAAATAGCAGATTTTTAGCGATCTTAGATCCATAGGCCAACATTAGAGCCACTTCCCCTATCTCTTATTTTGAAAAATCTCAGAGTGCTTATTTATGCTGATGACATGAAACTAATTTTAGAGATAAGAAATGATGATGATATGAATACGTATCAGATTGAAGTTCATGTTTTTTATACGTGGTGGAACTAAATGATTAAAAAAATGTAATCTTATTACTTACATTAGAAAACTAATAAAACCAGATATTCGTATTACATTAGGCAATCAAATTGTTCAAAGTTGTGACGTCTTTTCCGTAACCCCCTTCGAGATTCAAAGGACTCGAGAGTGTCCCCGCACATCACTCGATCCATCGTCGCCTTGACCAATCGCGTCAGTTTATCCGGAAATCCGTACTCGTGCATAATCTGCCATAGCTGATATCGATCGATTGTGTAGTATACGGATTTGAAATCGATGAAAAAATGTTGTGTGGGCATGTTGTATTCGCAGCATTTCTACAGAACCTGCCGAATCGCGAAAATTTGGTCCGTGGTAGCGCGAGCACCCATGAACCCCGCCTGGTATTGCCCCACGAACTCTCTCGCAAATGGTGACAGGCGGCGACATAGAATTTGGGAAAGTACCTTGTTGGCGGCGCTGAGCAGTGTGATCGCGCGGTAGTTTCAGCAATCCAACTTGTCACCTTTTTTGTAGATTGGGCATTCGACACCTTCCATCCACTCCTTGGTAGTTGATCTACACCAGTTGCTTTGTTGTTCTTCAGTCGACCGATCTCCTCCTCAACTTCTTGAAGATCAGGGGCCGGTAGCCTGTCGTCTTCTGCGCGTGCTCCAAGGTCTGTTGCCGTGCCACCTTCGTTTTATGTTGCTTCACCGTTGAGGTGCTCGTCATAGTATTGCTTCCACCTCTCAATCACCTCACACTCGTATCCTTGACAGATACACGTATTTCGTCTACAATGTGCAGACTTCTTCAGTGTCTTGTACTAATACTCGACTGAAGAAAAACATTACATTTTACCGAATAAATATTAACACAGGTACATTTTCACTTACAAGCTTCGTAAACTTAAATTTAATTTCCTGTAGGAGGAGGTACTCCGCTGCTTACATGTTGATGTGTCCTAGGTAGTAAATTGAAAAGCCATGTGTGTCCGTTTCCTTGATTCCTGTTGAGTAAAGTTGAATTCCTTTGTTTGTTGATCTTGAGGCTTTCTGCAACATCCAGTTTCCATGGTGTAGATACGGTTCGTAAAATCGTGATGTCCTCCGTCGATAGTTGGTGGTCCTCTGTGAAGATGTGTTCTGCAACCTTTGATTTGAAATGTTAGGCCTTTTTCCTCTTGCTTTTTGGCCGTATTAACCTCCGCTATATGTTCTTCAAATCTAGTTGCTAAAGTTCTCTTGGTTTGTCCTACGTTTACTTTGTTACAATGATAACAGTTTATTTTATAAACACCTGCTTTACCTAAAACATTAACTGGGTCTTTAGTGGATCCTAACAATGATTTCAACTGGTTATGTCTACTGGTGAAAATTAAATCTAATCCGAATTGTTTTAACTGTGGTCTTAGCTTACAAGTAACATCTTGATCAAATGGAACGGACATTCGTTTCAAGGGTTCAGCGGCGCTGCGGTGAGGGTTGTAAATAATCTCCTTTGTAGAATTCTCGCTTTTTTATCCATGATTGCCTGGATTGTGGTCTCCTTGTATCCGTTGAGTCTCGCTGTTTCGAAGATGTACTGTAATTCCTTAACCTTTCCTGTATCGCTGAGTGGAATAGTCTGCATCCGATAAATCATGTGGTGGAAGGCGGCCATTTTCTTCTGGAACGAATGGTTGGAAGTATAGCGGATAACTCTTTTAGTGCTTGTTGGTTTCCTGTAAATTTCGTATTCAAGCGAAGATGATGATGACGATTCCGTGATGACTAGAATATCGAGAAATGCGAGTTTCCCGTCTTTTTCTACCTCGTGAGTAAATTTGATATCCTTGTGAATTCTGTTGATCTCATCTAAAATTTGTGGAAGGGCTTCCCTATTAACTACGCTGAAGATATTGTCAACAAACCTCCACCAACGGTTTGGTAATAGCATAGAGGTAACTCTAAGACAAGTAGGTCCCGAAGAAACGTGCTCAACTTTTTGGCTCACCTCTGGTACTATCTTCGGTCCCAAGCTTGTCGAATCACCCCTCGAAACATAGGAAAAACCAATAACCCCTCATTTTATCTGTCAAACTTTCATAGCGAATCAAAACAAATATAGTGTAGTAATAGAATTTCAACTAGAATAGGGTACGTTAATCGTTTGCTTGGGACCAATAGGCTACTAAAGTGGTGAGCCAATTTAAAATCGTTAGTTTCGTATTGATTGTTGGTAATAGTCTTTTCATATTAAGAATTGTCTCCAAGTAGGCCATGAAAAGTTCACACAGGAAGGGGGATAGTGGGTTTTCCATTGGGGCTCCTTTCGTCTGCTTGTAGAATCTGAATCGGATTCAGGGAACCCACATTTAATAAGAACAATTACTAGAAATTTCACCCCATATAGATATTTTCAAATTTAAGATTTCAAAGATTTCCCAAAAATTAACAAAACATCCAATATTATGAAAAAAATCATGCAGGACGATGGAGCCTGATACCATTAGATTTTCAATTAAGTTTATTGTATACATTTATTTATTTACGTTAAATAGTGATCAATTTATCCCCGGATTACGGTATTCAAAAGTTTTCCTGCTAATTTAATCTGATGGAATCTTGAATGATGAATCTAGATTTATGGACATGTTTGTACATTCTGATTTAGCTATATTGTCAAGAATTAGCGCTCCAGCAGCTGAATTCCGGGCATAAATTTAACGAAGAGATGAAAATTTCTACATATATCTATATATATAATTTGAATGCCTTAGCACACACAAAATCCGTGATTTTGTGTGTATTTTTTGATTAAATAAATCAAGAACACCATAAAAGCTCATATAAATAATTAATTGGTTCCAAATGGGTATAACCAAACCTAACTTCATTTAAAATTTAAAGAAAATCCCAATGCTTTTGTAAAAATAAATTTAATTTTTAACTAGTTATTAACAGGGATACAATCATTCAAGTTTCGAGTTCACTCCTTTCGATTAGAATTAAAGTTAAATCTTGATTGACTCGGAATGTTAGTTAGTCCGATGCAACGAATAAAAATTTGTTCTGAATAAATGTTTTATTAATTTCTTTTCTCTTCAAGGGGGCGACCCCGGCGTAGTGGTTAACATCCATACCTCTCACGCCAAAGTCACGAGTTCAAATCTCGCCCCCGGACAAGTCACGAATGACCCAAGAGTGTTAAAGTGACTATAATTAAAAAAAAAAAAAAAAAAATTCTCTTCAAATAACAGAACAGCAAAACAAAAAAAAACAACAGGCCCCTTCAGATAAATTTTCTAGCTACGCCAATTTAAACTTCTCGTTAATAGTATTGCCCAACCTCTCCTAATTGTTGTAACCTTACTACACTAACATTTTGTTTTATATTTATTTTTATTTCAGAGACAATTGAACGCTGACAAATTTGTCGTTTCTCCTGATCGAAACTATGTCCTTTTATACTCTAATTTAGAGGATTTTGGTAACGCAAGGTATATTTTCATATTGAAATTTATTTTATTCTGATTAATAATGCTATAAAGCCTAAAAACACTATGTTCATATTCGACCCTCTCCGATTTGCATTAAACATCGTATAGTTCGCTATGGCCAATCATTCATATTAACTTGGCCATTTTGAATCGCGTCTCACTTTATTTTTCAATAAATCGTAGCACGACAACGTCTCTTCTCACTTTATGTTTCAATAAATGTTTCAATAAATCGTAGCACGAAAACGTCTCTTCAGCAGTGACGTCTGGGAAAAAGTTGTATGTTGATGATGATGATGATGATGATGATGATGATGATGATGATGATGATGATGATGATGATGATGATGATGATGATGATGATGATGATGATGATGATGATGATGATGATGATGATGATGATGATGATGATGATGATGATGATGATGATGATGATGATGATGATGATGATGATGATGATGATGATGATGATGATGATGATGATGATGATGATGATGATGATGATGATGATGATGATGATGATGATGATGATGATGATGATGATGATGATGATGATGATGATGATGATGATGATGATGATGATGATGATGATGATGATGATGATGATGATGATGATGATGATGATGATGATGATGATGATGATGATGATGATGATGATGATGATGATGATGATGATGATGATGATGATGATGATGATGATGATGATGATGATGATGATGATGATGATGATGATGATGATGATGATGATGATGATGATGATGATGATGATGATGATGATGATGATGATGATGATGATGATGATGATGATGATGATGATGATGATGATGATGATGATGATGATGATGATGATGATGATGATGATGATGATGATGATGATGATGATGATGATGATGATGATGATGATGATGATGATGATGATGATGATGATGATGATGATGATGATGATGATGATGATGATGATGATGATGATGATGATGATGATGATGATGATGATGATGATGATGATGATGATGATGATGATGATGATGATGATGATGACCTCCTACCCCTACAAAGGTTTGAGCTGGTCGAGTTATCTTTAAGGTTCTACAAATGGTAATTAAATTTGTATACGTCTTCTTTTTGAAATATTCTTCAATCATCATCATTGGTTTACACATACATTCTCATATTATTAATACAAAAATTTAACACTTGTATTTCATGATTTTAGAACGAAAACTTCCTGGGTAAAACATATTCACTGTATTTACTTACTTGTGTTCTTCGAAGCTTAGCACACTAAGACACAATCGAATAAACAAAATCCAAAACAACTGCTACTCAAAACTCTTGGTAAACAAAATTGAACACCGAGAAAATCACTTCAACTTTACTGCTTTGTCGGCAATCGTAAAAGTATCATTTAAAAAGCGTTGCCAGATGTATTGCCTCTAGCAATGGATTTAAGTTTATTAAAACAAGCAATTGTGAAGTTTGACTTATTAATATAGATGAGTGGATGTATTTAATGGTGAATAAATATCAGAAACTGAGTAAATAAAACAAAAACGACCATTCTAGGTATTTACCGGTCCAATTTAAAAAGCCACCGAATATTGAATTCAACACTAACAGGGTTGATGGCAGCAGTGCGAGTAGCCTGGTATTCGCTTTCCCGCTCAGGGGTGTAAACAAACTTGCATACAGCGAAGTCTGGCAGTGTGAACGTTTTGTCTGCTACATTCTTATGCACTAGATAGTGTGACATCACATTTGCTGTTGTATTGAAATGAAGGAAGAAAAGAGATGGTTAAATTTTCCTCACCATACCAGTTGATATTTATGAAACAAGGGCAGTTTTGGGCGTGGGAACATGCACTTCCAATGAATTTTACCCATACATTCAGAAAATGATGATCGAAGAATATTTCAAAATGAAGAAGTAAACAAATTATTGACCCTTTGTAGAACCTTAAAATTGTAACCGTTCTGTTACAAAGGTCCCATATTTTAAATATGCACCATGCTTAACGGCCGACTGTTAAATAAGGCGCGCATGGCCGCGGCAAAATGGTGACACGGAGTCACGGGTGATGAGCTGAAGGGTTCTGCGATGCTTGTAGAACGGCCATCGTTCACTTTACCTCAGGCGAGCGTGTAGACCAGAAGTGTCTGTGGAATACACTTTAACAGAATACAGTGCGAGTAGTGAATCAAGGTGAAGTGTAAATCACCAATTCAGCTATTTCAGGACCTTCTTTTTCAACCAATCAAACTGTTTACTGGTTGGCGAGTCAAGGACTGCCATTGCAGTCTAGGTGACATTTAGTTACCTTGACCTAAACGTAAAGGACATCGTTCTCGGGCTGAAGGCCCTAAACGTCAAGGAGAATTTCCCTTCCCGGTTCGACAGAGGGCGGCCTTGCCGTCGTCGACCGGCTTCGTCAGAAGGAAGTGCCTGTGCATCGGAACCATGTCTACAAACCGCTATACCAAACCCGCCATTGCACTACAGCCGACGTTTGGTCAGCCTCGCTTCATCCGCCATTGTCGGTATTGTACCGGAATTTCACTGAGCGGTGGTACCGCCATTTTGCCGACAAGATCGGTCTTTAATCATCCGCCATCGACAGGATCATTCCAGATTCACAGCGAGTGCTCGCTGGTCTGCAGTCATCGTAGTCGCCATCATCATCAAGGGTATGTGCCAAGAAAATCGATCACAACACCACACAATCCACACTATCGTTAATTGGATAAAATACCATGTTAAAGTTGATCCGCGCTGTGTTTCAGTTTAATTGAAAGCTTGAGTGCCTTTTCGTCCGCGTAACCCCTCCAGTTTTCCCAGTAGAGCGCCGACTCTGAGACACAGTTCAAGAAGTATCGTGCTGCTGAGTTGTTGTCGGACAGAACATTAGTTTCAAAATAATTAAATATAAACATTTTAACCATACTCGCAAACAAAATCGAGCTGGAATACGTAAGAGTGTACGATATTCCACCAGAAGTCCCGGAAAACGATTTATCGTTGGTGCTAGTGAACTACGGTGGAATTCAGAAGAAATTCCCTGCACACTTCGCCTCGACATGTACACAGGTGTGCGGGGTGCTTATATGGTCGTAAAAATTTAGATTCCCAACCTAAGGGAAGTACAACTTGATCTGAAGTAATATTTGGTGTAAAAATTGCTCAAATCGGTAATTATTATAATTTTTAGTATAAATATTAATGATATTAACGTCAAGCGGACAGCTTCAAAATAAAAAAAATAACAGTGTAAGTTTAACGCATACACTCAATGACGTTTCACCTTTGTTGTTTATGTTTACTGTAGCTTTCATTTTTGCCTAGATTTTCGTTTTAGCTCTGATCGATTTCGACTTCGACTTTTCATGATAAAAACGGTACTGGACGTTCCCCCAGCAGCAAATTTTGCCAGTTGCAGGCTCATGGCAAATCGAGTGTAAAACGACCACGGAACCATCACTCTGGGACTCCGTGTACAGGGGAGGCGTAGTCAGTCAATTCCCGTTCCATCGGAGGACAGCACATTGGTTCGCAGACGATGAAGAATTCGTGGAAATTAATGACTATTTTCTGGGACAGAAGTGCGACCGATTATGTGCACTGAGATCAGCTAACAAATAATGCCGAATTTTTCAGAACAAGGAGCGGATTTTGGTGGCGGTGGCCAACAAGATCATCAAAGAATTACTTGCCTCTGGTGTGAAATCCATTTTTTATTTAACGAATGTCAAATGTACACTTCAAACCAAACATAGTCAAAAACAAAAAAAAAACAACTGTCAGGCTAAGTATAAGATTCGCAAATATCACACATATTAAAATATTTAATATTTCCACCATCGATATTGATGCTGATACTTGGACCTGTCCTTCCCCTAGTTCCCAACGCTCTACATTTCTTCAATCGGAAAATTTTCTATCAATGGAATGAAAACTTGTGTTTCCTTTGTGATATGGAGGAGTATCGTATGAATTCCTGCCCCAAGTGGAAGAACCGGAAGCAACCAGTACAATAACAACAGGAAGAGGAAAATCAACAATGGAATGAAGAACAGACACATCTGGCTACATCCGGCAACATCTGGTCACATCCCGCTACATCTGGCCATATCCCGCTACACTTGACCACATCTCACTACATCTGGCCACATCTAGCCACATCCCGCTACATCCGACGGCATCCGACCACATCCGGTCAGATCCGATCACATAAATATATTACAATTTAACCGAATTGGATGCAACAATCACCAAATGAAAGGTAGAACGCAGATATTTTTTGAATCGATCAACTGGTTCTGAAGATATGGGCGGAACATGTTTCGGTTTGAATGGGCAAGCGACAAAATCCGACCTGAAACGAATAAAACCAGTGACATGAGAATTCTAAAACCAGTTCAATGGTAGTCATTTGTAGCTGGGAGGGAGAAGCAGATAGCACACGGAATTCATTGTATACTTGTTTTTGTTGCCATGAAAGATTGTGCCATTGAAATAAAATCAAAACAGGCGTGCAGCAAAATAGCGTGTTTTGCTTTGAGCGTGTAGTGATTGTTTGAGATTGTTCAATGTGCAGTTAGAAACTGTTCTTTTCTGTTTGGTATTTTATTATGCCGCTAGATGTTTTGACAAAACCTTCGTTAATGGTATCTTTCAATATGTATTTGTGTGAATTTTGAATGAATTAAAAAGAAACGGTGTCCATTGAATAAAATAGCTGGAAACGACAGTTTTTTATAAATTACTTTACGCAAGATTTCAATACCGCCTTGTGTATTCTTGTTCAACTGTAAGAAAAGCATCATAAAATTGCTTGCCTACCAATGCCAGTTCGTGACAGCAGCCGTCTGCCTGCATTTGACGTTCCATTTTTCTCTCTTCGCAACTCTCCCTCAGATTTGTAGTACCCAGGATCACATTAGTCACATCTGGCCATGTTCCGGTACCCCCGGAGAAGTAGCCAGTTTCAGACTGTGGTCAAAATCCG